GCCTGAAAAGATTTGGTGACTACTGTCCAATTCACCCAATGTTTATTTTTCTGAATCCTTCTCCATTCCCCCCCCCCCTCAGTAGTTCTCAAAGTATGGTCCAGGGATCCCCAGGGAGTTCTTCAAGACCCTTTCAGGGGGTCCAAAAAGTCAAAACTATTTTCATCATAATACCAAGACATTTCAATTTCTATCATAGATAAAATAGCTATAACCCACATAAACAAAATTCTTTGGTGAGGGAGCGTCCTCATTAATATTTAAGAAAGTAAGGAGGTCTTAAGACAAAAAAAGTTTGAGAGTTTATTCTAAATAATATTTAGGCCTTAACATTATGACATTTTCAGAGTCTGTGGCCTATGAACTCTGGCATCCTTACTGATGCTGAGTCATAGTATTAGACTAAGAACTGGAAGAAAATAGTATTTCTGGTTTCAAGCCTCTTTTTGTTAAAGTTCTGAAATCCACTCAGGTGTTCTTCCCTAAGACAGTTATGTGTTAGAAAGATAGTTTTATGTTGTTGCTTCTAAATGTGATGGTGACAAAGTCCCTAATGATTCCATGGCTACTCTATATTCATATAGAGTCTCTGAATCACCAAAATCTGAGTTGGGAGGATCTATGAATATCATCCAACCTCCCAGCCAATGGAGGAATTATTTCCACAGCATCTTGGAAGGATGGACATCTGGCCTCTGTTTGTAAAGTTCCAGGGTGGGAGAGTTTCTAACCACACAGGTTTTGGACAGGTCCATTATTGGACAAAGAAAGGAAAATCCCTCGTTAAAATCAAAGGTCTGACAACCTGTCCCTGTCCCTCATTGCTTCAAGTTCTGCCCTTTAGAGATATCCAAAATAAACCTACACTCACAGACTATTAGAATTGGAAAGGACATTTGTTGTTGAGTCATTCCATTCATGTCTGACTCTCTGTGACCCCCTTGAAGTGGTTTGTCATTTCCTTTTCCAGTTCATTTTACAGATGAGAAAACTGAGGCAAACAAGGTTAAATGGTTCACCTAGTGTCACACAGCTTAATAAATGCCTGAGGCCAGATTTGTACTCAGGTCTTCCTGACTGCAGGCCTGGTACTCTATCTACTGCACCACCTGGCTGCCTAGAAAGGACATCAGAGGTTATCGAATTCAGGCCTGTGATTTTATGTATGAGAAGACTGACATCAGGGGAAAAAGTGATTTGCTCAGGAGAGCTAGTATGGAGCAAAGCTTGGATTTGAATTCAGGCTTTTATGGGTCAAAGGTCAGTGGCCTTCCTTCTTCCACGTGACAGTCTTTCAAATATTTGAAGACAGTGATCATACCCCTTTGCTTCCTTCCACCCGCAAGTCCTCTAACTGTCCTTCTGCCTTTCATCAGTTCTCATACACCATGATTTCCAAACCTCACATTCCATGTTTCCGCAAAGCACCTCAGTCTAGTAGCAAGAGTGTGTATGACATTTGGGTTCAGATCCTGGCTCTGCCTCTTAATGTCTTTGTGATCTTGGGCAAAATCTTTGACTTCTCTGGGTCTCAAGTTCCTTATCTGAAAAATAAAGGATTTGAACTAGATAGCTTCCTAGGTTCTTTTCAACCCTTAATCTAGGATTCTAGGAAAGCTGTCCTTTTTGCAGTATCACAGAAACCTTAAACCTTGGTTGGCTTCTTCTGGCCATGCAGCATTGACAGTCTAGAAATGATTTTTATAGCTCCTCTCTTTTCAGGATTTCATATTCCCCAGAAGAAAACAAAGTATCCACCTGGTTCACCTTTTTACCAAATAGCATTCAAATGTGCCCATACCTTTTGCTTTATAGATTCATAAACTTTTAGCCCTAGAAAGGAACCTGAAAGGTCATTTAGATTTCCCTTTCCCTCTTATTTTAGAGATAAGGAAATTGAGTGGGAGCCCAAGTTTACACAACTAATAGGGAGTGATGCTGGGACTGGAACCCAGGTCTCTAGACTCCCTCTTAGGGTTCTCCCTGGCTGATCAGCGGCATCCCTAGCATTGTTTTATGGAGTTAAAAGCCAGGAATGGGCACTTGGGGGATCAGCGCCAATTTAACCAAGTTAAGCCAATACTCCTAACAGTCAAAAGCCAGGGCTTACTTACCTCAGCTAAAATGAAAGAAATAGCTGCCCAAAGCTAGTTTCTTCCACGCCCCACTGGCAAGGTGGTAATTGCACAAAGACCTTTTTATTAGAAGTTGATTTTCCTGAGAAATGAATTCAGAAAAATACTGTAAAGTGTTTATTTTTCCCTTGACCTTTATTAACCTACATCTTTGGGCCTTCCCCAGAGAAAAGTTGTTGGTAAATTAAGCCTTATGGACACACACAGTAGCATTTCTGTACTGCATCAGTGATTGTGGAAGGAGTGGGATATGACAAGGAAATTTGGCACTATTTAAACAATGTCATAGGTCAACATATGGGATCTGACCAAAAAAAAAAGGTTTAGGAATTAAAAGGGGGGTGTGGGTTGAAGTGCTTTTGATGTTTAGTTTGACTTTTTAATTGGATATGGGATGACTTGCGGACAAGAGGCCTGGGTATGAGTCTCAGCTCTGTCCCTTCTTGGGGCACCTGGGTGACTTCCAGCAAGTCGTTTAACCTCTAAGGGCCTCAGTTTCTTCATCTGTAAAATTAAGGAGTCAGACTGCAAGCTCCCTTCCAGCTCTGACGTTGGTAACTCTGTAAATGGTTCACTTTCACAGTAGAGAAGAAATCCGCACAAACCCTGTTTGATTTGACTTGGTAATTCCTTTTAATACTTCCTAGTATTGATATGTGTTTCTTTAAATGTTTACTTTTCTTTAATCAAAGTAGATTAAAAGCTGACTCTGTGATATCAGTGTGTTGAAGGCTGGCCCATAATGCCACCCAGCATCAGGACAAGAAATGTTTGCCAAAGCATTCTACTGGGTTCCAGTCCCAGCCAGAGAGAGAGAGAGAGAGAGAGAGAGAGAGAGAGAGAGAGAGAGAGAGAGAGAGAGAGAGAGAGAGAGAGAGAGAGAGAGAGAGAGAGAAGTTGGTAAAAGGCAGAGATATTATAGGAGGCAGGGCTTCATCCGTCCCAGCCCTCATTTTTTATATGTAGCATACAAATGCTGATAGAAGGTGAAGAATTTTCTTCTTGTGCGTTTTTGTGCTCTTTGATACATTTATTAAGGTCAAATGAAATTTGATATAGTAGGATTTATTCGGAAATGCTCTCTGAATACAACTCCATAATTACTGAGCTACACGATCGTGCATGGGGCTGTAAAACTGCTTAGACAGACAAGCAATTTATATGTTACACCGAGGTGTGTATAGCAAAGAATATTAGTCTAATTGGGAGCCAAGATGTGGTGGTCTTAAATCTGAAACGTGGTGGGAAGGCGGGGAGAAGGAGGCAGGGATTTCTAGGAAATCGGTACTGTTGTGATGTTGTACAGTGAACTACCTGAGGTGGAGAGATACTGCCTTTTGAGTATATAACAAACAGCTGAGTATTATTTCCCAACCTAGGACACTAACTCCACATTTCAAGACAGGAAGACACCCAAACATGGGAAGGAAAAAACATCTAGACTCTGGGCTTTTTTCCCCTTTCTTTCTTTTTCCCTTTCTTTTTCTTTCTTTCTTATATTTATTTTTCTACCTTTTATCTATCTTGTATTTCTTTATCTTTTATCTATCTTTCATGCATTTATCTTTTAACTATCTTTTATTTATCTATCTGGTATGTATTTATTTTTATTTATATCTGTCTTGTATTTATTTGTCTGTCATATTTATTTATCTTTTAGCTATCTATCATGTATTTATTTATCTTTTACCTATCATGTATTTATCTTTTATCTATCTAGTATTTATTTATCTTTAAATTATCACATATTTATCTCTCTCTTTCTGTCTCTCTTCTATTCATTTGTTTGCCTTTTCTTTGCAAGCCTGTTACTTAGCACAGTGCCTGGAACATGCAAGGTATATTGCTTGTTGGCTTAATTTTAAATAACCGGCTTGCACTTTTCCCTTCTTCCTTGCAAAAGCCATATAGTAAACTCTCAACAAATTCCAGCCTGACAAATATTTATTGATTAACAACTGTGTGCAAAGTACTCTCCATAATCTTTTTTTAGGGGGTGGGATGGGGAGATACAAGATTTAAATGGCACATGGCTCCTGACTTCATGGAATTTGGAATCTAGGAGGAGAGGAGAGGTGGTCAGAACCTGTGCATTAGGAAAATGACTTATGCAGCCCTGTGAGTGGCCAGTTGGAAGTAGAAAGAGGTAGGGAAGTCACTAAGGTGGTTATTGCAACAGTCCTGGCCATAGTTAATATAAACTTAAAATATGGTGTTAACCTGGGGGGTAAAGCAGATAGGCACCTTAAATTAATAAGGAAAAAATAAGTCCCTAAAGATGGTTAACTCCCTAAAATGGAAGGAAAAGAGTAAGAATTCCTTCTCTTCTTGAGTCCTCTATTTTCTTGTGTATAAAATGAAGGCATTGGGCTAGAACAGGGGTTCTTAAAGTGTGTGTGTGTGTGTGTGTGTGTGTGTGTGTGTGTGTGTGTGAGAGAGAGAGAGAGAGAGAGAGAGAGAGAGAGAGAGAGAGAGAGAGAGAGAGAGAGAGAGATCCCATTAACAGTCTGGAATCCTTCTCTGAATAATGTTTTTAAATGTATAAAATAAAATATATAGAATTAAAAGAAAATAATTTCAATGAAATAGTTATACAAATTTAAAAGATGTTTATGGATTCAAGATTAAGGAAACCTGGACTGCATGATCTCTAGCACCTCTTCCTGCTCTGGCAGCCTTGGGTTTCCATGTTGGATGGGTTGGATGTGATGTTATGTCTTTGTCCTGGGTTTGCAGCAGATTTGAGTAGGGCCAGGGGAAGACGTGTCCATGGGAGCACGTGGATCTCTATAAGCAATGGAAAATAAATACCTGTCAAGACATATTTGCACTATGTCTGATCATAGGCTCTCTTCTGTTTAGCAGGTTCAGGGTCACATGCCTCCGCTCATGATCCCAATTTTTCCACACGACCAGCGGACACTGGCGGCAGCCGCAGCTGCCCAACAGGGATTCCTCTTCCCTTCTGGAATACCATACAAACCAGGTAAGCAGAGGGGGAGCTGCTGCAGTTACTTTAGAAATGCTGGTAGAAGAACTCAGCTTTTATGTTTGGGAAACTCAGACTACATTGAAGCAGTTGTTCAAAAAAGAGATGGGTGGAAATGAATAAGATGCTCAGAAGTTTAGCTACAAGTTATGCTGGGTACTATTAGTGAATGCTGGTCTGATTGGATATGGAAAACCATCAATGTTTTGATCAAGAAATAAAACATTGCTTCCTAGAAGTCCTATTTTTAGTATTGTCCCCTGATAGAAGTCTTTGGGATTCCCATTTGTAACAGGGTGGTACGACATTTGGAGGAAGACTATTTGATGTTTTCATCTATGACTGTTCCCTCTATAGACAGTAGTTGCCTATAATGGAATACCCCTTCTCTTTCTGAGAGCTTTGCTACCCTAGGGGAGAGGGGTCACGTGAAGGAGAAGATGTTATCCCTCCCTGATTGTTGTCTTCTTTTTGTTGAAAAAAGCAGAACCTAGTACAATTTACTTAGCTTGCCACTAATAGGTAACGTTTAGACTTCTTTCTAAATAATAAAGCATCCAGGAGCTCCTCCTCATTCATTGCCAAGTCTTGAAACAGGTCACATAACCTTGCAGTGAAATATGTTTTGAGATGATTTAGCAAATGTTATGATTTCTTTCTTTATTCCTCTGAGTTTACTGGACTCCTGGGGAATTCAATTAGGGCCATAATGGTTTGAAGCTACTTTCAGAGCCTCCTTGTAAACAGGGCTTTAAATGTTTAAAGATCTGTTGCCAAAGGAATCCACCGTCAGAAGATAGTTAAGTAAATAAAAGTCAACCTTATTTTCATTTGTGCATTCTTTGTAAGTGACCTCAGCCCAGAAGCAGCGACCTTGTTTTGCTCATTAATAATTTTTTTGTGTCAAGCTCTTTTTCACATATTAACCACCAAATCTGAGTGTAGCAGTTTCTTTGGACATAAATCATGGGGTTTATGAAGTGAGCAAAGACACCAGGTTTTATCTTTTTTTTTTTTAAATGTAAAGACCATGTGAAACACATTGCTTTGCCCTTCCTTTATTCAGGCAAGATTTCAAAATAGCTTTAAAAAAATCAACCAAATGAACCCAGGGAATTTTGTTTCTTTAACTGTTGATGGGGGTTGGTTCATTGTCTTTGATTACTGTTCTACATTTAGTAGAGAAGTCTTGCCTTGGAGGGAAAGCAGAGAATGTTTGATAAGACCTGAATGATTACAGAGATGGAAAAATAAAGGAACTTGTAGTCTTAGAAGACTGAAAATCATCTTCCAGAGTTCTTTCTTAGGCTTCTGGCTTGAATGAAATTCAGGCTGGCAGTGAGTCAGAGTCCTATGGCTTGATGGCTCCTGGGGAATGGAAGGAAATAAGATGGGTATCCCTTGACTTTCTGACCTATATTCCCTGTAGGATGGGTGCCAATCATAAGGATGACAGATACATATTCTTCCAGTGAGAATAAAATTCAATGACAATATGGCCTAAATTCTCTTTTGACTAGTGGCAGTCATGCTTTAATGTCAGGACTGAACCAATTATTAATCATGACCTTGCCTATAGTAAAACATCCCAGCTTGTCTTGGGTCTGAGTTGCCACCCTTGTATCAGTCCCAGGACTAATAACACTCAAGCTGGGGAGGACTTATCCTCAAAAAGTTAGTGATCAGAAGATTTTTTTATAAAAATGAAAACAGCTCACCAAAGACTACCTGCTAACAGCAGATTAAAATCCTTACTCACAGAAGGGTTTCAGTCTGCATCAAGAGAAGTAGCAGTCATACCACTCATTACAGATCCTTGAATTGGCGAAATATACATGATAAAGACATCAGTACTCTGGATACCTCTTTATGATGCATTCTAATTCTGACTTGTAGGGAAAGCCTACAAATTATGCTGTGTAAAATTCAGGTATAAATGTGAAAAGAACAGTAAAATATTGATGTGTAGGCAATGTGAGGCAGTGGGAAGAGGCAATGGGAAGACCACTGGGCTTGACTGATGTCGAGTCCTGGGATTTTGTTCTAGCTCTACGACTCACCCACTGTGTGACCTTAGGAAAGTCATTGCCCCTCTTAACCAATCTGAGTCACAGTTTCTTTATCTGTAAAGTAGGAAGGAGGCCACATTCATCACCTATCTGAATAGGAAATTATTTTTAATGAAAGTGGGTTTTAAACCTTAAAGAACTATTGAAATGTAAGCCACGGTTTTGGGTGCCATATTTAGGAGAGTTATGGACAAAACAGAAGCATATGCAATGGTGGGTTACCAGAAACCATGCCAAAGGAGGACTGATTTAGCCTAGAGAAGAGAAGGTGGCAGGTTGGGCAGACATGATAGTTGTCTTCAAATATTTGGTAGGTTCTCATATGGAGAAGGATTAGAATTGTTCTTCATGGCCCCAGAGGGCAGGACTAGAGCATTGTGTTCAAGTTATAGGGTGACAGATTTTAGATTACCTAAGCATGAGCTCTCTACATAGAGAGTGAGTTCCTCATCAGTAGAAGTCTTTAAGTGGATAACTACTGATTGGGAATACTATAAGGGGAATCCCTTTTTGTGTAAGAAATAGACTAGATATCCTCTAGGACCATTGTAACTCTTAAGATTCTTTGACTATGACCATCAGTAATCAAAGATTTAATTATACACCTTAGGCTTTGCTTACTAAGGCAAGAACATACACTCAGACATGTTAGCAAGATTTTCATCACCAAGGAATGAGGCCAAAAATGTTAAACCTGAAAATGAAATACAACAACTACTTCCATCATTTGTACAACTTTTCTATGGTTCATACAGAAATAAACAGCATGCAGTTCTTATCCTCAAGGGTCCCCTAAGTCTAGCAGGGGAGGTAAGATAAAGGACTTCTCAGCTAGAGTAGAAAATTCAAGATAGGGAGGGCTACAGATAAAGTGCTATGTCAAATCTTGGAAAAGAAGGATAATTTCAGATTTGTGGGATCGGGGACCAATTCCTCAAAGAGCTGGTGCCTGAGTCTTAAAAGATGGAGGATTTAAAAAGATGGTAATGGCATGGAGTGGAGGGTCAATGGCAGAAGGAGGGAATTATGCCTTAGAAGGGTGGGTTGGAAAAAGACACTGCTATTGGGAAGGGGTCAAAAGAGACCCCTTTGCAAGTCACTTGAAATGCATGTGAGATAGTGACTTAATCATCCAAAAACAGTATTTCAGAGACCACAAAGCAAAAACATTCATTTAAATTTCCCCTTATGCTCTCTCCAGGAAAAGTGTCATCAAGAGCCTCCTTGGCCTTTGTTCATTGAGAAATAAATGGCTGTCCTTTGGAGAAGGCCTTCTCATTTTGTGCTTCTTCCTGCCTATCTAATCCAAGGGCTTAGAGATTATGGTTTGGCCATGGCTGTAGAGATGGTTATCTCTTTTTTTCAATGAGAAAAGGCTAGATCAGAGTAATGTGCAACTTTGGGCATTTCTTCTTTCTAAAGTGGAAGGAAGGCTTCATGGGAACTTCCTCCCAAACTCTCTGGTTTTCCATCATTTAAACATTAATCTTAATGGGAGAGAGACTTATACACCAATACAATGTAACACAGCTATATACAATACAATGCAATGCAGTGTAATATAACACAACACAGTACAATACAAGGTGCAGAACACTATGCTAAGTGCTTGGGCTGTTCCCCTCTTGGAACCCATAGCCTAGTGTAAGGAGAAAACAAATCTAAACAGCTAGATCTAATGCACAAGGTTACATGTTCAGAATGCAGTAAACTTGTCTAAATGTGGTAGACTGGTGGGAATGTGACCTTTGGTAATGCCATTTTGGGAATCTTCAGAGAATTGACCTCTTTGGCTTTAGCTGTAATGCTTTTTAAGGATTCACATCTTCAATCAGGCAGCAAGTAGAGGTGCCTATGTAAATAGAATGAAAGTATGTGGCACGCCAACAGAGCATAGGACCTAACCCACAAGTCATTATATAGGATCATAAGATAATAGATTGCAGGATGAAAAGGGCAACCCATGGCACTCTTGGAGAGCTCTAATTGTTAAGACATTTTTCTTTACATTAATCCTAAATTTGCCTCTAGGTAACTTCTAAAGATGGTCCTTGGTTCTCTCCTCCAAGGCCAGGCAGAATAGGTTAATCTCTCATGTGATACAACCTTTCAGATTCTTCATGTATTCAATGGTTATCATGTCCCCACTAAGCCTAAGCATCCCCATTCTCTTCAACACATTGTCATATGTCTTGCTTGTGAGTCTTTTTGTCATCCTAGCCCTCCTCTGGACACTCCCCAGCAATTTATTTCCCAAAATGTGTCCAGAACTGAACACAATACTCTAGAACTGGTTATACCAAGCAGAGATTAATACCAAGATTAAGGACACCTTTACTGGCATTCTAAAGAATACCTTTATTCTAACCTGATGAGAGGCAGGATGAGTCTTAGGTGTTTTTGGTTGTTATTTGCTTTTTTTGGGGGGGGGTTGTTGTTTTGGTGAGAATGATGAGCGCTATTTCTGCTACCACTGGTCCATGCTGCTGGGCACCTCTTCTCAAGGCAAAATCCAAACTGACAATGCCATGCCCACAAAGTGCAGAGGGAACAGCAATTTGCTTGTTAACTTGAAAATGTGCAGCCATCGATTTCCTAGCAGGATGTGTGTGACATGGTGTGTCCAAATTTGTCAGTGTCAAACAAATAGAATCTTGATCATGATTAAGACATTACATTTAAAGAAAGGAGACATTACTCTGTAGTGGTACACTGCCTTTCTCTAAGGTGGCCAGGGTCCTTCACAAATATTTTGAGTTTGAATTGGCCTTCCTAACAATGGAGTTGTTCAGATGTGGAATGTTTTCTTTTGAGGAGGTGGTAGGTTTCCCTTATTGGAGGTCTTCAATCAGAAACTTGTTGGCTGCTTGTTGAAAATCCTGTAGAGCTAACTACTGCTCAGGTTGTGGTTGAATCAGAATGCCTCTG